AAATTATTTATAAATAGTTAAAATTTGAAGAGTTATAGTTCTGGAGACTATTTTCTCAAAATTTTATTAAGACAATCACTAATTTGGTTCTATAAAACTAGGGTTACTTTGATTAGAAGAATATTTATTATTTATAGAGGTTGGACCCATCAACTGCTTATCTGGGTATTCATGCAGTTAACTGCATATCTGGATGTTATAAATGTTTAACAAGTAATAACCTTTATCCATCAGTTTTTCAAAGGATAATCTAACAGGTATCTGCAGGTATCTGTGGGTGTCTGTAGGTATTTGCAGGTACTTGTAACCATTGCATGCATCAATACGATCTTACAATAATTTTTTAGAAAAGTTGTACGTATGTACGTATATATTGCAGGTTTTAGCAAGACATTAAAAGTTTATTTTTGCATAACATAATAATACAATATTTTATGCGTTAGAATGTTTTAAGATCAAGACAAAAATTATGTTGCACAAGATCAAAACTATTAAATAAAGTATCAAGTTATTTTGGCAAACGAGATAAAGAAAATATTTTTTTTGCAGTAAATTCTAGTGTATATTGTGGCGTACATATTAATGTATTAATATATGCATAATTATTTCTAGTATATCAGACGCTCATTAGAATAGATAAAAATGTTGGTAGATATTAAGCAAAGTTAAAGTGTCAGTAATATATTCTAATGACTTTGACTTATAATTTAACAATACCGAAGTAAAGTGCCAACATATTGTCAAAAAAATATTGCAGATTTTTTTTTTTAATCTTTTTAATAACCACTCTTACGTTATAGTCACATCAATATTTAACACATAATCTTTAACTTCCTTCAGAGTAACTATAATATGCAGATTTTAAATACTACTAGATGCTTTTTTTCTTTATTTTAACCATTTCTATATTTACAATTCTAATATCAGATTTTAGCTAACTTCAAGAACTATTCAAACTCTTTTTTATTTATTTATTTGTTTTTTTTTTTTATGCAATGCCTGTACCATTTATGATTTTTCAATGTTGTATCCATTATAATTTTGAATTTTATTACTACCGTCACTTGCGATTTCAAATATCATGCTAAGGCTTTCTTTTTATCTTAAGCTATATTTGTGGTACTATTCAACTATAGTTTATATTTTAAACTTTTTAAATCCCTTCTATTCACTTTTTTATAGTGCCTATACCCTTATATAAAAAATATATATAATAGTATTTGGCTCTTTTAAATATTCTTTTTCTGAGATCTCAAATAATATTCATTTATATTATCTAGCAATTTTTATTAAAGATTAATATTTCTAAATTTTTACTTGAATAAGGTATATTACAATTAGTCTGAACCTTCAATTTAGAACTTTAGACTATGTTATGAACATTCGAACTTATTATATTAGGACTTGGTTGTCGATCTTACATTTGAATTTGAATTATATACGTATTAATTAACTTTCTTTAATATATGATGATGATATTTAATCACTAGTCTATCAAAGTATTAGCTTTATATAAATAAGATTTATCCACAATTGAATTTTTTTTTACTTAGATTTTAATAATCTGCATAAAGTTATTTCTACTTTGCGCAATAATTTAACATGGAGTTTATGGAGCAGGACTTTAATTCCTTGAGCAATACTGAATCTGAATTAAAAGAAAATTCAGATGGTAATAAATTCTTTACAAGTCAACTGAAGAAACGTAACTTATCTAATACGACAGAAAAAAGAAAAAAGAAAAACAGTTCAATGAAAACATAACAACTTCAATTTCAAATATGTTAAGTAATGAAAATAGTAATAAATATGATAATGTTTCTAGTAATAAATATGAATATGACAATAATACTGGCTATGAATATGATAATTATACTGTAACTGACAGTGTAATGACTGAAAGTAGATCTGGTATGAAAAATTGACCTTCCAAACCTAACTTTAAGGATCTTCAACTTATACCTATTAATCAAGTACCAGAAAAAAGTTAGATTTGAAATTACTATCAAGTATATAAATCTGTAGAACCATATAAATAGATAGTCAGATGCTTGTTTGAAGTTAATGAAGTTAATAGACCTCAACCGTGTGGTCATTTAATAGGATCAATGGATAGTTCAGCAGGTAATTTTATTAGGCACTTGGTATCATGCCATATAATTACAGAAGAATCTTACAAAAAAAAAAACTTAATCAACAGCAACCTACATAATCAAATATTGATCAAATATTTTAAAGAATAGCTGCAAATGATCCTAAGTGAAAAATGAGGTGAGATCAAAAATTTATTAGTATGTTAATTAAGGACTAACTGCCTATTAGTATACAAGAAGGTTCTGGGTTTAAGGAACTTTTAGCAGAGTTTGATTCTAATTACCATTTGCCTAGTAAAAGGCTCTGCTGACAATTACTTACAGGCGCTTTTTTAAGTTCCAAGGAGAATCTTAAAAAAATACTTAATGACAATATTGTATTTTGTTCTTTAACTTGTGATCTATGAACAGGATGAAATCATATGGGATACTTTGGAGTTACTTGTTTATTTATTGATACTAATTTTCAATTAAATAAACTTGTTTTTACACTAAAATATTTACTATATCCCTACACTGGTGAAGCAATCGCTAAAGTATTAAACCTCATAATTGATGAATGAGGATTAGAAAATAAAATTTTTACTATCATGACGGACAACGGGAGTAATATGGTTAAAACCATAAAGCATATATCAAATATTGTTTGAATTCTATATACAGCCCATACCCTATAGCTCGCTATCAGAAAAGGATTGTTGGATGCT